GAGTGTCGAGAAGCTGTATCGAGAACCTCCAATTCGAAAAAACAGAGTTTTAGATATTTAGTATCGAAAACTGAGTGTCGAGAAAGCAATTCTCGAGAACTCAGTTCGAGAACTTGTATCGAGAACGTAGTATCGAAATCCTGCAAATCAAAGTTTCAGATTAAAACAGTTTAAACAACTTTTCTGTGAAGTTTTCGATCTCGAGAGTCTTCCTGTATAGTTATCGTCCTGAAAAACCTGCTTAAATGTCGAGAACCCTGCTTTTCGAACTCATACTATCGAGAAATCAAAAATACCGAATCTACTGAAATCAAAAAGTAAGATATACCCTTGGTTCGTTTCTGAATGGCGAAACCAATGATATAACTTTTACAGTTTATCGATCAGAAACAAGATTACAGTGATTACAAAGAAATATATCGAAAAGTATGAAAACAGAGAAACTTCGAAAACTTTTCTTCGACGATCACACTCGAGCAGGCTCTGATACCAGTTGTTGGTCCCAGTTTTGCAGACTAACGATCAGCTAGATGAACATCATCGATAGACAGAAGAGAAGTATTTCATATAATGATATAAGATTTATCGAGAACAGTGAAACCTTCTTTCTGTAGTATCGAGAAGTAAATTTGGCAGCGTAAGGCTAATGTGTATTGATCGATATCGGTACCTGTACACAAGGCGCGTATTTATAGGCGCTGTACAGGTTACCGATTTAGGTAAACCTTGGAAGTTGGGCCAAGGCCTTTTTGGGCCTTATTCCCTTTACCTTATTTGCTACATAATAAATACTAATCTAATACCATAAATGGTATAACTAGTCTACTTTATTTAAACAAGACATTACAGACAAACTTGACCCACAATAAAAGTTCTAACAGAAAAATAGTAATAGTCAATATTCTTGACTAAAAACCCCAACCCACCCATATGCCTATGAGTGTATAGAACTCCTCCTTGTTCAAGTAAATTATCATAAGGACACCGCCCGGTCCTAGATCATTATATGTAATCTATGAGTTTTGAGGATACACACCCGATCCTTGGGTACTCCACCCTATAATCGAGTTTTGAGGATAACCGCCCGATCCTTGGGTACTCCACCCTATATAACCGAGTTTTGAGGATAACCGCCCGATCCTTGGGTACTCCACCCTATATAACCGAGTTTTGAGGATAACCGCCCGATCCTTGGGTACTCCACCCTATATAACCGAGTTTTGAGGATAACCGCCCGATCCTTGGGTACTCCACCCGATAACCGAGTTTTGAGGATAACCGCCCGATCCTTGGGTACTCCACCCTATATAACCGAGTTTTGAGGATAACCGCCCGATCCTTGGGTACTCCACCCTATATAACCGAGTTTTGAGGATAACCGCCCGATCCTTGGGTACTCCACCCTATATAACCGAGTTTTGAGGATAACCGCCCGATCCTTGGGTACTCCACCCTATATAACCGAGTTTTGAGGATAAACGCCCGATCCTTGGGTACTCCACCCGACCTATGACTTACCACATATCACGCTAGATAGGGTCTATATCATATTTAGTCATTCATAACTAATTCACTACATAAAGCTTATGTATCACAATCCATGCAAATCCATGCAACCATATAAATGTATAATTAACTAATATCAACCGATATTAATTAATTCATTAACCATCGGTCAACGTTATTGTTGACCGCCATCTCAAGTCTTACACTTATTAACTAATTCATCATATAATTAAGTTAATAATATCCATTTGTGCTTCTTTTACTCTTAAAGCAAATATGCATTATATATAATTTCTCATATCATATTTCATGCATAAACAATTAATTCTTTTTATACAACTTAATAATGTTGGCAAATCACATGTTTAAATATCTTTTAAACATCATTATGAACACATATAACATTTATTTAGGTAATCTCATAATTAACCCAAAAGTTATAAGATATTAAGCCGTCCACTCACCTTGAACTAGCGTATGAAGTTCTACCCTTCTTGGTTGAACTCCGGTGAAACTCCGGCGACTTTTGGTCAACTCCGGCGACAACTCCGGCGACTTTACCAACTTTGTGAAATCACTTGAAATACCCTTTACAAGTGCCTAACAAGGTTTTAACATCATAAAACCTTAATCAATACAAATAACCTCTAAAAGGTTATTTTCCGGTGAACCGGTCGTTTTGGCTTCTAAGTCCGTTCTTGGACATAGAATCACTTTCCAATCCATTAATCCATACTTACAACATGTAGAACCCTCCTAAGGATTCTTCACATGATATGTATCTCATATGGTAGAAGAAAAAATAAAGAAGAAGTTATAATAAGGTCATTACCTTAATTATTTCACACTTTTAGCACGTTAGCTCCTTTTTGGGTGATTCTTCCTTGATGATTCCTCTTCAACAATGGAGAAGGAAGATGGGAAGTTCTCTTGCTCTTGCTGGATGAATTCTGGCCGAGAATGATGGGGAGAGGGGGATAGGGGTTGCCCTTTGTCTCATTGATCAATGAGTATACATGGGGGTCCACTCCCTTTTGTTTGATGCCTTTTATTTCACTTCACACACACCTCCCCCCATGCCTCTCTATCACTCCAGCCAGCCAAGCCCTCCATTTGAGTGACCAAAAACGTGGGTTGGCCCCCACTCATGTGGGAGGTCAACCCTTTTTGTCCCGAAGTGTACAATCGGTCCCGAAAGTTGTATTTTTTCGGACTGTTTTAATCATAATTTATTTTATCGGGTAAAATAAAATATATTATGTGTTCCCCATCATAACGCCCCTCTGAAATAATATATATTCCAAAACTTTAATTTGGAAGCCTCCGAAATTCATTTTCGGGCTGTTATCTGTTTAATTGTCGGTACCGGTAATTGGGCCTCTTTTTCCCAATCGGTCAACTCTGCGCCTTTCCACGACCCAAATAAAATATCCACCACTATATAAATATTATCTTGACTAAGATGAATAAAATATGTGGCCTCGGGAGTGTCGGGCGGCCCCCGCTCCCGGTGTGGGTCCCACGTGCAATTTACATTTCACGCGAATGAGATAATAAAAATTTTACAACTTCGTAAATTCATTAATTCTTTAATAAGGTTCAATACATTATTTACATAAAAGTAAATATATTTGGGGACGGTGTTACACTACTTTATCCATTTGGTAATTGGTAGTACCGTAATACATTAATTATTTCCTTTTCAATTTTCATATATTTATTAATTATTTCTTTCTCTTATTTTGTGTTTTGTGTACTTCAATTTTTTGATGTGTCATTATATTATTTTTAATTTCTTCAACGTTATGGAACTACTATCTTTTTGCCTAATAGAATGCTCTTTAGTAAGTACCCAGTAGTAATTTTTTTAAAATATATTATTTTACTTTGTGGCAATATATATTTTTGAAATATTTTGAAATATTTATGTGCTTCAACTCTTTAATTATAGTAAAAAGTATATATAAAAGTGCACTAAACTAAACAGTTAAAGTTCATGGTATTGAGTTTTTTATTATGCATTTTTAAAGTGTACAATGTGCACGGTGTATCATATTTAGTGCAACTTAAAAGTTCAAAAATATAACATTCAAAATAAAGTGCACACCATTTAAATAAAATTTTGTCCGCTTAATATATAAAATGTTATAGGAACTATAAAAGTTCATTTAAAATTATTTCACTCGTAAGTGCATAAGATAACTAAAAATGCAACTACTTAATAAATAATTATATCATCTACAATTCACTTATACATACACATGTTGCACATATCCACTCAATAAATAAAATATCACAGGGACTATAAAGTTCATATTTAAATATTTTGCTCGTAAGTGCATAATAGATTAACTAAAAAGTGCAACTACGTGATAAATAAGTACATGCTCATCTAAATTGCACTTACAATGTTCATTTTTAAATATGTTACCCGTAAGTGCATAATAGATTAACTAAGAAGTGCAACTACGTAATAAAGAAGTACATGTTCATCTAAATTGCACTTGTGCGTGCATATAGTGCACATAATTTAGAATATTCAAAATGAGTTGATATGCATAAAGTCTCAAATAAAGTGCATCTATTCAATGTTGGAATGCAAAGCATAAATTAATTTTAGATACTACGTATGTTATCCTAAATTTGAAAATAAATTCAAATAGGAGAAAGTATATATTATAATAAATAATCTTAGCTATGAGAGAGGTTACTTTTTACGAATTATTAGGAAGACTTCCTATTATGGCGCATCATGCGTGATATCCTCCATGAACAATTTTACCATGATGCCCACAATAAATATTAGGTTCAATTGAATCCGTTTTAGATGGTGATTCCACCGTAAATCTTGGATATCTCTGGCCTAATTTTCGAAGCTTTTTGGCCACATGATTGAGATTACCAAAGGTTGGATTTTGTTCTTTTTTCCTCTCCTAAGAGGGTGTTCTCACAGGAATTAACCCATATATATATATATATATATATATATATATATATATATAGACTAATATTTAGGTCCGGCCAGGCCGGACCATTCCCCCCGTCCGGCCTCCTCCATTTGGGGGCCTTCTCGGTGGTATTTTTTGCTCAAATGTTTTGTGTAGGTTCCTCATCAAGTCTAGTTCATCCATACCAAATTTCAGCCAAAAGTTCAATCGGGAAGGTCGTCAAATGATTTTTGCAAGTTAACTGGTCCGGAAAATAGAATTTTTGGCTGAAATTTGGTATGGATGAACTAGAATTGATGAGGAACCTACACAAAAAATTTGAGCAAAAAATACCACCGGGAAAGCCCCCAAATGGAGGAGGCCGGACGGGGCTCCGGTCAGGTATACCTGTAAAGTGGATTCTAGGCTGGAATTCGGATCACCATGTAAAATATATTTTGGAAAGAAATTTGAATAAAATTATCGGTAACTCATTTAATTTATCCCTATAAAGATCGAACAAGCTAGGCTACTATATATATGTGTGCTAAAGATATAGTGACGTACTGCGGCCAAAGTGACTAATGGCTTGATCCACAATCCTTCTACAGTCTTCTACAATGGAAACATCTGCTCGGATGGCTAGAGCTTCTGGAGCTCCCATGTGTAAAGCCCGATTGGCTACTTCTTGTAGACTTACCTCTCTCCTTGCGACAAGAACTAAACATGCTCCCCGTTTCGCGTACTCATATGCAAGATGCTAATGATAAATTGATAATTCCATCAGAAAATTCTCTAAATAAAACTAAAATAATGAATAAAGTTCACAATTTTTAATCTAACTTTCAATAATGAATAAAGTTCACAATTTATAATCTAACTTATCCTTTTAGAAGGAAAAATAATTAAAATACCCCAAACTTTGAAGAAGTGTAAAGTAAACACCCCAAATTTATAAATTTGTATATGTAATTTAATTACCCCAAACTTTACACAAAAAGTTTTTTAGCACTATGGTCATGTATTATTTCTTTAAAAAAATTTAAATTTTGGTGTTAATTTCATAATTTAAAATGTTTTAGGAAGATACAATTAACATTCTAAACTTCAACTTCCATGGTAAAATAAATAGCATTACCCCACTCTATATTAGTGCAACATTTTCAATTTGCTATTTTAAATTATGCAATTAACATCATAAATTTACTTTTTTTAAAGAAATAATACATGACAAAAAATAACTTTTTATGTAAAGTTTGAAATATTTAAATTACACTTTGGGTTGTTTATCTCACACTCTTTCAAAGTTTAATGTATTTTAATTATTTTTCCTTTTAGTAGACTTAAATAAGTTCTATAAGTACAATACTATGTACAGAGTAATTAATATTTAATCCTGTTTTTGATTTGAAATAATTACATAAATATGACCAAAATAAAGATGATTTAAAAAAATATGACTAGTTATTAGAGTAGTAATGAAATCATAGTAATTCATGTTCAAGTTTTGAACTTAAGTTACCACAACACTACGTTGCAGTAATGAATAATCATATTTATGTAAATAAGTTTTATTTTAGTAATATTCTTGTAAAAACCCCGTTTGATTTTTGTGTTGTTTACTTGTTTTAATCCTATATTAAGGAATTTCTCTATAACTTTATTTCGATTCATATACTTTGCAATGTGCATGATTTAGGGAGTGTTTGCAATTGTTTCAACTTTAAAAAAGTGATTTTTTAAAGTGATTTTGGGAAAAGTGATTAATAGTAAAAGTTGGTAGTGTTTGAGAAAAAAGTGATTCTGAAAAAGTAAAAGCTGATAGTGTTTAGTAAAATAAGTACTTTTTGTGTAATAGGAAAAGTGAAAAGCAGTTTAAAGCACCCTTCTACATGTTTCCAGCTTTTAGTTTTTAAGTGATTAATTTAAGCAGAAGCTGTCATCTGAAAACACTCTTTTCAGCTTTTTTTAAGCCAAAAGCTAAAAAGCGCATTTTTAAGCAACCCCAAACACTCCTTTAGTAGTAAGCTAGCTAGGAAACTAAGATAGATTGTGGAGCGTACCTCACCAATGCCGGAGGAAGCGCCGGTAATGATGATTACCTTGCCGGCGACATCCTCGGCGGTAGCTGAGCCCAAAATTGAGAGGAAAAACTTGAAGACTTGGAATGGGGCCCACAATAGAAGCAGAGCGAAGAAGGTGAAGGGCGGAGCTACCAGGTTCAGAAACTTGTGAATTACATCCAGCGCCATCGTGTATCTATCTATCTATCTACTACGTAGCTGCTTTTTACCATTACGCACTTTTAATTTGTGTTAACTTATTTAAATGCACAGTTTTTAGCTAGGCTTGTATTCTTGCTGGCACTTAACACGAGTACGTGGCCACACACGTGTCCAGATGGGGACACTTGGGTGATGACATTGAATGAAGTGGAATGGTTTTGTGGAGTCGCCCAAATCCATGCCATTTCACCACCATGCTAGCCTCTAGTACTCTGTAGATCGATGTCAAATATCAAGTCGCTTTCTAAAAGATTAACTTATATCGATAAGAAGAGCAATTCAAAGATTAACTAATATTGTAAATTTATACTCTAGTGCACGTTGAGACACATCTAATATAAGTGTCTGTGATTATGTTTCTGCTTTTTTTAATGAAGCTAGTCTCCCCCAACTTATAAAAAACTGTTTCAATGAGTAAATTAGAACACCGAAAATACTTCTGCATTTTCACTCAAACATTCCAACTTCTGCTTATGTTCCCAAAAGAGAAGAAGCATTTTTAATAACAGGATCCAAACACCACTAAGACGTTTTACGTATCATATACTATACATATCATATATTCCCTCCGTATCAGATCTTCCTATTTCAAAAGTAGGTAGATCAAGAATAGTGAAAGATGATATAAATTATTGAGGGTATGATGAGAATATAGTGAAATAATGTGATGGAATGTATGATATATCCAAAAAAAAAGTAGTTGTAATAGTGGGTATGATAAGAAGAATTAAAAATGGGAATATCTTTTTGTTATGGACGAAAAAGGAAAGTGAGATCTTTAAGTTACGGAGGGAGTACGAAGTACTCCATATGATATACCCGAAATACTCATCAATATTTTCTTAGACCGTGTCTTAATTTATCTAAATTGTGACGCATGTCCACAATTCCACAAATACATATGTCTAGGATTCTGGGAGGCCGTTTGGTAACATTGTTTTTCGGCTTATCAGGCTTATCGGTCAACTTTTTCACCAGACACGTAACTTTTGTTTTCGCGCGCTGAATTGTGTAATAACAAGAATAAGTAAGATTTGAGTTACTTTTCTAACTGTATTGGCTGAAGTTACTGTAGATGACCATTTTAACTATTTTTACATATAATTTTTTCTTTATTTTATTAATTATTTTTAAATTTATTTTTTTCTTAAATCAGCAGAATCAACCAATATAGCCACTTCAACCAGAACTTCATAAATTTCAGCAGAATCAATCGAATCAGTCGATTTTCGTGTTACCAAACAGGTTCTAGGTGTATAAAGTTTATTTTCCATCCTTAAAAATTTTCATTTTCTATCAAGTAACACGTACTTTTCAATACAGTATATTTATTCAAAGGTAAAAATGTAGGGTACTGATTGAGATGATATTGATAAATTTTGACGTTTTTACCTGAAGAACTTTACTCAGATTTTTTTCCTAAGAATGTTTTACGATTTTAGTCATGTGATACTCAACATGCTCCAAAGCATTACGGAGTATAAAAAAGAGTTATTATACATAGTACGGACTACGGAGTACTTCGTATTACGGAGTATAATAAATTATTAAAAGAATTTTTTGCACTCAAATTGTAACAACGTCAAAATGTAAGCTCCACGGTAAATAAGTTTTCAGATGATTTTATGAGTGTAGAAACCAGAAAGAGTACATTCTAGGTATCATTTTCCCCAATAATCATATTTATTCAAATTTTATTGACGAAATTGGCAATAATAATATCGATTATAGAATAATAATTCCTATTAAGAGTATCAATAAAAATAATCTTTACTAGCAATAATGTCCACAAGAAATCAAGAATAAATCGCAATGAATCCAATCTTATGCTAATTTAGTGCTCTGAACCTCTTCTTTCACTTTCTTTTTCACCACTCTTCGTCTCGAACTCTCTGTTAACACTTTTATGTTCCGATTTAGAAAAAAATCACATTTGCATGATGAAAATAGTGTTGAGATGAAACCGATTTTAATTCGAGTTTTCCCCGAGAAGAAGAGTGAGGAAGAGAGTATTTAATGAACATTAATTTGAATTTGCACTAATCATTCTTATGAACATCATTGCTAGTTTGAATTATTTTTGTGAACACTTTGAGTAAGAATTATTATGGGTTTAATGCACCAAACCCCCATGTGATTTGGAAATTCGGCGCATTAGCCCCCTGTGATTTAAAAAATGTGTCAAACCCCCCTGTGTTTTAATTAATCATGCACAAAACCCCCTTTATGAATAAATTTAACGATTTGAAAATCACTTTTCCTAATATTTTGATTGAATATGCAAATAAATATGTCAAAATCTCTGAATCATACAAAAATGTTAATCATTTTTCTTTTATTTGACAATTGAATTTGTTCACATAAGGGATTTGGCGCATGATTAATTAAAACACAGGGGGGTTTGACGCATTTTTTAAATCACAGGGGGCTAATGCGCCGAATTTCCAAATCACAGGGGGGTTTGGTGCATTAAACCCGAATTATTATTGTAGAATATTTAAAAGTAGAGATTATTCTTATGATTTCGCCAATTTTATTTTACCGGACATAAGAATAATCAGCTGATTCAGCCGTTTGGTAACACTGAAATTTACCGAATCGGCTGATTCTGCCGAAATTTATGAAGTTTTGAGTGAAGTGGTTGGATCCACTGATTTTGCTAATTACGAAAAATAACTCCATCAAATCCCATCAAACTGGGAGGATATTCTTGGCGAAAACAAGGTAAGTACACACCCAACCAGGTCATGAAGCAAGTAACCCTAAGAATGGCTGTATAACACTGTAGCATCATAGTAAGCATACAATGAAGCGCTCAATCAACAACAGCTATTCTGGTTCTACTCCATTGGATTCCAATTGCAAACGCATTATACTGGCATTGGTTTTCGCTTTTGCTGGAGTAAGTGGCACATCGTTAAACATTGCAGCCGGCGGGGGAATTCCAGGAGCAGCTGAGAATCTCACAATTACCAGCACTGCATCTATTAGTAGCAAAAATTACAGCGTGACGTACGATAGGCGGTCTCTGATAATCAATGGCCAGCGGAAACTGCTCATCTCTGCTTCCATTCACTATCCCCGCAGCGTCCCTGCCGTAAGTTCAACCTCCTCCACCAGCTAAAATGGTTCATAATTTGTTATCAGTAGCTTCTGCTTTGAGTGCTTTCTCTATGTCACTGCTGTTACATTTTCTACTTTATTTCGGGTTGTTCTCTTGATTTAACTGTAGAATTTGTTGTATAATTTTGTTGTAACAATCGAAAAAGAGAGATAGAAGTAATACGTGCACTGTCATCCATGAAATATAATTTCTCTCATTGTCCTGAATTGCCCATCATCTTTGCTCCTAGTGAATTTCATTTTTTAAAGAATGTTCATTACTACTAAACTTGAAAGATTCATTTTTTAAGCTTGCTGATTGAATAGCTGATGAAACTGGGTATTCATTAGATGTGGCCAGGATTAGTTCAACTGGCAAAGGAAGGAGGAGCTGATGTTATTGAAACTTATGTCTTTTGGAATGGTCATGAACATTCTCCGGGCAATGTGAGGCTGCAACTTAACATACAACTCAAACTTTGCGTTTTCCTATTCTTAATTCTAATGCTTCCTGTTCAATTGCACTGTCAAATCATCTTTCAGTATTACTTTGGTGGAAGATATGACCTTGTGAAATTTTGCAAGATCGTTCAGCAAGCTAGTATGTATATGATTCTTCGAATTGGACCATTCATTGCCGCAGAGTGGAATTTTGGGTATACTTATACACCACTGCTATGAGATTTCCATTCTACCCTTCAACAGATTTACAAGATAGGTGATTATGTATTAGCAGTGAAAGTAATATTGAATTATGACCTGTATGGATTGAGGTTTAAAATTTTGATCCCTGTATTTAAAGGCTTCTAGAGTTGTCAAAACTCTGCCAACTAGGTTTTGTAGATTGGAAATCACATCTAATTGAGAAAACCCTTACCGCTGTCTTAATAATGCAGTGGCATTCCTATATGGCTCCATTATGTGCCAGGGACCACTTTTCGGACGGACAATGAACCTTTTAAGGTTTGTACAGTATTGCAGCATAGATATTTGCTATTAATTCAAATTCCAGTAGATAATAGTGACATTTGTCGGAAGGATCACAAATTTATTCATAACCTGGAATCCAAATTCCAGTATCACATGCACAGCTTTATGACATTCATAGTAAATCTGATGAAGCAAGAGAGACTTTTTGCATCTCAGGGGGGCCCTATTATCTTGGCGCAGGTATGTGAAGCTCCTAACTTATTTGTCTTAAAAGTGTTGGTTGTTGTAGCTATGTATTGATTGTAGAGCATGAATCTCTTCATGTCTTGACTCTTGATGCCTACAAATATTGCTTGATTGTCCAGTATCTTATTTGCATTTTGCAATGAAATGTTAGGATGTTTTTACTTGGACTATAATTTGCTGGTCTGGTCTGGTCTGGTTTCTTTGTATTTTTATAACTATCCAAGTCTGGTCTGGTCCGGTCTGGTTTGATATGGTCTGGTCTGATTTGGTCTGGTCTGGTCTGGGACAAATTACAGTCCAAGTAAAAACATCCTTATAATTTGGAACATATTGCAAGACTATTAATTTTGTAAATCAAAGTCCTTGTTTTAAATGTCAAACTGATTTTGTCCTTACATGATGTGTATCTCAAATCTTTTTCTAACGAATGGGAGGATGGGCGCTATATGAACTCTACACCTGATGATCTGACTTAACAAGATTCCCAATCTTATGAAATTCAAGTTTTGGAAGGTAGATATTGTAAGAGAAAACCATCTTAGCTTCATAACGAAGCAGTGAATTACAAACATTTATAGGCTTAGTACCATTCAGTTTTCATTATTACAAACACTCCCTCCGTCACAAAACAAGATTATTGTTTGGTCAATGAGTAGCTCTTTATTTATTGCAAGGACAACTTCAAAAAAGTAACAAAGTCCTTATTTTAAAAATAATGTTTTGATTTAACTAAATTTATCTTATTCATCTCGTTTGTAACCTCTTTTTCGGAAAGATACATGGAACATTTGTTCCTTTTTAAAAAAAATTGACTCATTTTTTGAGACTAAAGAAACTCTAGTAATACGACCCTTGTTTTGGGCGCAGGGAGGATGAGGTAAAAGTCAGAAGACAAATTTTCCCATTGTTTAGGTTGCACTGTAATCACGTTTTTATTTTCTGTTTTCAGTTGTCGTTTTCTTTATTCCTTAAGAGACAAACAAGAAATCGTGTTTGATAGAGTAGTTCTTTTATTTTAATTTTTTGTATTCATAAATACAAATTTGAAATATTCAAAACAAGAATGGTTGTTTTTAAATATGTTCACGAGTTTGACACAGTTTTTAAAACATTTAGAATTTTTATAAAACTAATTTATACGTAAGTAGGCATGATAGATAGAGTGATAGACTTACTGAACATGTTTTCCATTTTAGATATTTGAAATGAAAAACAAATTTTCTTAGAGATAAAACATTATCAAGCGAATCCTATTTTCTGAAATTTTTTCTTTGAATGGCCAACATTAGTGCAGATGGCCAGGTGCACCTTAACAGTCGGGATTTGAAAGTAGCGGCGTTGCATCATATTATGCATATACCCGTTAAAAGAGTCACATCTGATTTAATTTATCAATTTTCATTGTTTACACTTCAACGGAAACTTTCTTATTGCTCTAGTCTAAACGTGTCAATTCATATGGCTTTACTTGTGATGACAAATGGCTGGGAATTTTCTTTACTCTTTCTTTAAGATATTTTCTTGGATGCTTAAGTTATTACTTCAGGTCTATGAATGTCTTGAAACTTCTTTCATCTATGTATACAGGTAGAAAATGAATATGGTTTCTATGAAGCAGCTTATGGAGAAGGAGGTAAAAGGTATGCCTCATGGGCAGCAAAAATGGCTCTTTCTCAGAAAACAGGTGTCCCTTGGATTATGTGTGAGCAGTTTGATGCTCCCGTTGAGGTGGTAAGTACTTGTTGCTTCAGTTTGACACTCTGGCTAACATATATGTTTTAATGTGTACTCCTAGACTCCTAGTACACAATGTTGTTGTTCCCGTCAGTGCATATGCATACAAATGTACTCAATCCACCTCTCAAGTATGGTTACACACTTAATCCTGTATACATAAAACAGTGCCTGTAACAGTATAACTCTCTCTTTATGACTATTTCTAATAAGAGCAGAGGTATGATTTATTATACTATAGGCCCCAACTCTACTTTGATTATGTGTTACATTGTGAGGTTGCTTTTCCTGGCAATTTCATGTGTTGCTCTAGTATTACACAACATCCATTTCATAATTAGCGCATGTGTGTGTTGTTTCTTCCTTCTTTCTACTTTTCAGCAAATGAATTGTTTTTCAGGAGCTTGATAATGCCAAAAACGCAATATCTAAACTGACCAAGCTCTTCATGTAGGAGAAACAACTGGTTCAGGGTCTTCAAAGAAATTATGTCTGTAAAGTTGTTCTGTTGTAAAAAAAATGAATAGAACACATTTTGTTCCTGAAGAGTTTCATGATCACATTAGAGCTGCTACTTTCCAGATATATAGGTGTATAGACATTCACAAATGAATAAAGATGTAGTTGCCGCAGGGTATTCCTTGGCTGTGCAGTGTTTGTTTATTTTCATAATAGCGCCATGCCGCCATATTTCCAGCCTTAAATATTTATAAAGTATTACTTTGTGGATTGAAGCAACAGTTACAGACCATTGATCCATTCTTGCTTGAGTGAAATTGTAGATGGCCTGTTTGAAAAGCACAGGTGGTTTTTATTGATAGTAAATATCCTAAGCCCTCCCTGAATCTCTCTCTATCACCCTTGGGCTTGCATTCTTTTTTATGACTCATTAAAATGTTATATTAATGTGGGATCAATCATTTCAGCTCAAATTGCTTATATGTATATATTTCGTTACAGATTGACACTTGCAATTTGTTTTACTGTGATCAATTCACACCACTCTCTCCAACCAAACCCAAGATGTGGACAGAAAATTGGCCTGGATGGTAAGTCATACCTATTCGTTATAAATTTCTATCCGTGTTTCTGTTTAGAATATAAAAACCAAAATTTGCCTTGTTACATGGTCTATATGTTTCATTTTCATATGGCATCCTCCAGTCCTTTCAATTACTCGATTTCAACAGCCCTACCTCCTCCAAGTTAACAGTTAACACTAAGTTAGAATGTTTCCCGTCCTCTAATGATGGAATATTTGATGCTGTTAACTTATTGTTTATAATGCAACATACTTGTAATTTTGAACCCCTGAAGGTGGAGAACAAATGTGAAACAATAAGACTGCCAGTATGCATTTGATAATTAGTCAATGATAAACCCTAAGGCCTAAGCCCAATCTAGCTTTCTGGGTTATCTTTGACCTGCTCAATTAGACGAGTCTTAAATTCTTTACAATCATGTCCATTTCTGGTTCGAAATTACTTTTGCAAAAGGTCCTGGACTGGAAGTAGACAGAGAACGTTTCTTTGTAGTGCTAGTCACCAGTTGATATACTCAATTGTATAATTAAATATAGCATTATAAAATTTCAGGTTTAAAACGTTTGGGGCCAGTGATCCTCATAGGCCTCCAGAAGACATTGCTTTTTCCGTTGCTCATTTTTTCCAAAAAGGTGGAAGTTTGCAAAACTATTACATGGTAAATCCCAGCTATATCGTTTTGATTATCCATAATGGGTAACACTAAATCGGTCCTTTGCTACCCGTCTATAAATCCATTTCGTCCAAATGAACTTCTTTGAATGGTTTTTGTTTTTAGATTATTTCATTTTATGGCGCCTTAAGTGACTGATGTGGAAGTTTTGTTCTTTTTTGTACTTTTTTCATATGCATAAAGTAGTATCATGGTGGGACAAACTTTGGTCGCACATCAGGTGGTCCCTTTATTACCACAAGCTATGATTATGAAGCTCCAATTGATGAATATGGTAAACTCATATAGTCATATATTAATTGATAAATTACTTGCTTTGGAACATCAATTGATATTTTTGGTGGGTATGAGTGCTGATGTTTAATTGTAAGGCTGAACTTTGATATTATCTGATGTAACTTTCAGGTCTAGCAAGACTCCCCAAGTGGGGTCATCTTAAAGAACTTCACAAAGCTATAAAGTTATGTGAGCCTGTGTTGCTGAACAATGACCCCATTTTGCTCTCACTAGGTCCTTTACAAGAGGTGACCTCTAGTAACTTTTTGCCTTTGGTTCGAATATATGTGATATAATCTCTCTCTCTCTCTCACGCACTTTCAAAACCACTTTTAAAACTTAACATTTTTAAGGAAATGTACTTCTGCTTTTCTTTTATAGTAATCTGTTCTGGTAGTTCTTTCATTTATTATTATTATTATTGTTATTATTGTTTTTGCTATTATTATTATTATTATTGTTATTATTATTATTTTATTAGTACTATTATTATTGTCATTATTATTATTAGCCTTTAGTTTTTATTTTGAACTGAGTGCGGAATTATGATCTACTTGTATCTTAGTGCAAACTCATTGAAAGACCACTATTTTGTAGGCAGATGTCTATGAAAATGCATCAGAAGGAGCTTGTGCAGCATTCCTCGCTAATGCAGATGATAAAAATGATAAGGTGGTAATATTCCGGAATAGGCAATACAATCTGCCAGCATGGTCTGTCAGCATTTTACCCGACTGCAGGAATGTGGTGTTCAATACAGCGCAGGTACCCCCAAATGTTCAAAAGAAAAAACAATTTTAGATCAGGTTGCCCAGTTTTAAAACCCTGAGAATTCCATTCATTAACTTATTTCTTAAGTTTTAACCAAAGTGAAGTGTCTTACAATATGCACAAGTTGCCATCTAGTTAATCATTTTTTAACAGGTCAGGTCTCAAGCTTCTATAATTGAGATGATACCATCAGATTTCCAGTTGTCATCAGCATCATCTGTTAGTGGCCTGAAAGGTCTTCAGTGGGAAGTGTTTGTGGAAACAGCTGGAATTTGGGGAGATGCTGATTTCACAAAGAAAGAACTTGTAGACCACATCAACACTACTAAAGATACTACTGACTACCTCTGGTACACAACAAGGTTGGTATAGTTTTGAAGTTAATTAAACATGGAAGCTACAAACATATGCATAACTAGTGGGCCATAGATTGAGGAGGACATATAATACAAAGAAACATGAAACTCAAATTCCTGACTTGGTCTGCCTCTTTTAACAGTCTGCTACGAGCTGTTGCTAATCCTATGTACAACAGAGGTTCCTAGGTGGGCCTTTTCAATCGTCGTTAAGTTTACATGAAGCTACGATCCACATATATTCACAATATCCAGACTTTCTTAGTCCAAATTGATATAGCCTCCCCTTGAGTTATTAGAACAACACACACCCAAACAGATTATCTGTTCTCAAATGTGGTCAAGTTTCTTGTGGTTATAAGAAGAGCAAGGGAGTTCGAAAGAAAGGAGGATATATGGGCTCTAGAATGAGGTTAAGTTTTCTCAGCATGGAAATGGTGGGCAGGCAATGTCAGCATCACATATGTTGACTTTTACATTACAACTTGATTTTTCTGAAGACTAATACACTACTTATATCAGGAAACGTGGCCTAAGTGTAATGGGCCAGACCCTAGGGTTTCTAAACCATGGGATCTCGTTTACCCCACTTTAACCTATTATATATACTTCAACACTTCCCCTCAAACTGGAACATCATATGCTCCACGCTTGTTACAAAACATTAAACTAAACTTAAAGCTTGATAATGAAAATTGAAAATTTGGATTCAACTTCAAATTAGACCCGGAGCAGAATTACTGAACTTTGAAACTTCAAATTCTCTTCAACATAACTTTAGAAACATGAAATTGAGACTTGAACACTTGAACAGTTGAACTTGATTGGTGCCCCACTCAAACTTCTGGGCAAGAACTTTACTCCACTTTAATTCGCAAAACTTCTGGTGAATGCTCCCGAGGATTTATAATTCAACTGTCTTTTTTCAAATTGCTTTTTTGCACCTTTCCCTGTTTCCGTTTTCTTTTTTAATTAATATATGCTACCTCAATGTCTAGATTTTTGATCCGCCATTCTGACTTCAAGGAAGTAGCTTATGAATTAAACTTGTGGAAAATCATTTCCACTCATACAGTCAATTGAGCGTATGCCCTTATATATTTCTCACTTTTCATTAGTTTCTTTTCTACACTTTCTGTTACCGGCAGTTTATATGTGGATGAGGGTGAGCAGTTGCTCATAAATGGAACCAATGCAATGCTTCAAGTTGAATCAAAGGGCCATGTTCTGCATGTCTTCATCAATAAAATGTTACAAGGTTCAGAATTCAGAATTCATCATAGTTTCTGATGCTAGACTAGAAAATGATTTTTATGTTAAACCATGTTTCTTACTCTATGCACTTCAAATTATTCCAATGTAGTATTTTGCATACCGCTCATGCTCATTAAATCCGGGGAAGCCATCCTATTCTCTGGATGTGCTACATACACTGAAGTAATTTACTAGTTCTGCTGGCTCTCTTCAGCTACTGCATATGGAAATGGTACAGTGCCACCTTTCACGCTGCGAAGTCCTATTTCTCTCAAGGCAGGGAAGAATGAAATTTCATTACTAAGCATGACCATGGGCTTACAAGTAAGGTGTTGAGTTTTTCTTTTTATCCTCTAGTTCTTCACTTTATACTCCGTAATGATGATGATGGTGATGATGAATGTGTTTGTATACTTTGATATACGCCACTGCGTATATGACAATTAGGCTAATGAGTGAATCGGGGGAGGAGGGGTGGTCAGTTTTTTTTCTGTATGCAATAGAAAATATCTCATTGTAGGACTTGTAAAGCATGCGGTTACATGAAATGAGGACACCTAGAAATAACAGCGTATATTGTTTGTTAGCAACTGCCTGATCATCAGGCCCTGATGCCTTCGGGGCAAGTCAAAGACATGATATGTTGCCATAATGTCTAGTCATCCAATCAGCACAGTGTTCTCTTTCCATATATTATACACATGAAACATAGAACATCTCTGATTACAAATCAAGAGCTCTTTTATTGCCTCAATAAGATTAAAGTGCAGATCATTTGTATCCCCGAAGGCCCGAACACTTGATCTTAAAAATGGCATCTTCAGAATCACTTTCTAACTCCACTCTTCCAAATTCAGTCGACCAATATAATAGCAGGCTTCCCGGCTCTGATAATGTGATGTATTGTGTAAAGCACTGTTGTAATATTGGTGGTGATACCCATTCTTTTGACTAAAAAGTATATCCACTTCCCAAGCACATCATACCCACCCCACCCCCATAGCTTCGCCCACTTGTCCCTTAGCACTACTATCTACATTACCCTTCATTATGGCTGGTCAGGATGGACATTGGACACTGTTATGGTTCCAGAACTGAACCGGCTGGGTAAAAGAATGAACACACTACTATCTACATTACCCTTCATTATGGCACCCACCCACCCTCATAGCTTTGCCTGCTTGTCCCTTAGCACTACTATCTACATTAGCCTTCATTTTGGCTGGTAAAAGAATGAAAGCAGCCCCCCGGTCCGGACCAGAACCGTTCAAACTGGTTCCGGTTCCTCCATAAAGGACCAAAATAAACGGGTTCCGTTTTTATTTTATTTTTGATTTATATGCTAAAAGATATAGAAATCAATCAATAAATCAGATCAGTTATTGCAATTAAGACATAGTATTATTGCAATTTCCCTTCTAGTTTCTCTGGGACTTCGCATGACTAGACCATCTGGAGTCAAAGGGTTGTTGACCAAGGCAGGACCTCCGGAAAAGAGAGCTGTTTGGATGGCAGGTGGGTTTTCGATAAGGATGGCAATGGGGGCGGGGGCCCGTGGGGAACTGCCCCGTGAGGGGTAGTTGGGGCGGGTGGTGGGGTGGGGGAGATATTTTCTCCCCGCATAAATATGGGGCGGGTGATGGGTTATGCACCCCCCGCACCGTTCCCGCACCGTCCCCCGTAATAATTAATAATAATAATCTCAATAATAATACTAATAATAATAGTAATACTAATACGAAGTAATTAAAATAGCATGGTGGCCCGGTGGGTTTAGTGGTTTCCTATCTAATGGATTGTGCGTAATGGATCTATCTAATTCTTGTTTAATAACTAAGCTATCTTGTAAAATTGCTTATCAAAATCATAAAGTAAAATGATTTTTTTAGAGATAAAATAAAATGAATTTGGGAAAGTTATAAAGTGATATTAGCTTAAACGCCTCAGGCACGGTGTGAAAGTTTTTTTCCTTTACTATTATAATGCATTAATTCTTTTCTTTTGAATGTCATCTTTATGATTGTAGTTAGGGCTCTTAAAATTTGGTGATCATATGTCGTCCTAGATGCCGTCAAATGACCATGATTGATTGAATGCAGGGTTTAAGAAAATATTATAGAGCTAATCAATGCTAATTTAGAGTTTGATAAAAATTACTAATTTAGAACGCGTATAATGTTTTCTAGATTTGAAATGGGATGTAAGATTACATTGACACTTAAAAAGTAAAAAAAAAAATTGGCTACTAGAAGTGTTGTTAAATTTTTGAAAAATTGTCAGAGTCTAAAATGATGTTAATTTTTGACGAGTACTTCCCCGTTGGGTACCCGTGGGTCTAGCGGGTCGGGGCGGGGGATGGGGCGGGTCGAATAGTAGTGGGGGATGGGGCGGGGGGTGGGGGCGATTTTGTAGACACGGGGCGGGGGATGGGGGAGTGAACCCCCGCCCCAACCCCGCCCCAACCCCGCCCCATTGCCATCCCTAGTTTTCGAGACCCCCTTGCTGTTGGGGATCCTCTGAACGGACATTTTCAGAATTGCCGATAGCCATGGCACTAATGGCAGAAAGAGGCTGGTTAGAGATCTATGGCTCTGATTCAAAAGCCTTCTCTTCTCTTGTTCATTAAAAGACTGGTGAAGGTTCTGGTTTCCCCTAACCCGGACCCGGCCTGAGAGCAGCCCTTCCCTTGATACATGGTTGCAACTTTTTTTTCAACGAGAGCAACTTTTCATGTTTCAGCTTGAATTTGTCTAGAAAAGTGGAATAGTATTTTTTCGTCCTTCCTATCAATGTTGAAGTATCCTTTGAGCATGCTTATCTCATTGATGGAACATTTTGGTTGAGATGCGTTGATCATTTGCTGTATGTGTATGTCCAACTTGTAGTCTGATCATGGCAACATATAGAAAAAAGTATATAAAATAGTAATAAGCTGGTTCATGCAGTGCTTATAGATATGAAAACTGTGCACTGGACCTAACAAATTGCAGCATGGTCTATGGAGAATCTATTGAAGATGATTATCAGGTCATACCATTATGATAGGTGTGCGCATGTTCAATCTCTTCTGAGTCTTCTCCAAGGTCTTATCATATACGTCAGAAGAGAGAAACAAGAAGAAGATAACAGAGCCATGTCGGTTTCCGATGCTCGCTCTTGGCAGGAACATTGGTTGCACGACTTAGCTTCGGCTGCTTTGCCAAAGTCGGAGACATTTAGTCAAGGAATTTCGTTTTTTATTCTTAAAATGAACCCCTGATTAAGTATTTATAATAGCCTCAAGAGGCTAGATGAGCAAGTAAATAGGGCCCCAACCTAATAAAACAATGTTAATACTTCCTAAATCAAAACACTTATTCTAATGAGCTTACTTGACACACCATATGTGAATAAGGTAAATTATAAATGGATTGAAAAACTATAAGTTATACTCACTTCGTTCTTTAATAGTTGCAACATTAAGACTTTTGCACTATTCACACACCTTACTTTGACCACGATTTTCTACAAATATATACTACGGAAATTGTCCTAAATAGGACTAATGAGTTCCTAAAAAGCACAAATAGGACTACTACTTTTTAAATTCCCTAAATAAGACAAAACATTAATTTTCTACCCTAAATACCCCTAAGAGTATTAATTCATAATGAAATGCTTTAATTCATAATAAAATCCTAAAAAAACGTAAAAAATATTTAAAAAACGTAAAAAAATTATAAAAAATTTATAAAACATTTATAAAATAAAAAATTTAAATTTTTATTTTTTTAATTTTTTTTTTAAAAATAATAAAAAATAGTAAAAACCAATAAAAAAATGAAAAAAATTATGGATACCTTTCCCACCGCCTCCCAACACCATCACCTCCGATTGGTGAAATTTCTTCCACTTTTGGTAAAAAAACTGCCATTTTTTTCTGAAAATGCCAAAAAGATGGCATAATTACTCTTCAATATGCCAACATATTCATTGAATATGCCATCATTATGACATTATTTAAAATGTTGGCATATTTTTCTCCGGTGATGGGAGCTGGGGGGTGGCAGGGGGTGGTAATGTTTTTTTTTGTTTTTTAATTTTACGATTTTTTTTTTAAAATATTTTTTTTTTAATTTTTTTAAAAAATATTTTTATTAATTTTCTATTATTGTTTTACGATTTTTAGTATTTTTTTCGATTTTTATTATTTTTTTATGATTTTATTATTAATTAAAACATTTCACAAGTTATAAGGGTATATTTGTCCAAACACATATAAATAGTCCTATTAAGGGAATTTAAAAAATGTAGTTCTATTTGTGCAATTTTGCCACTTTTTAGTCCTATTTAGGGAATTGACTCTATATACTATCCTTCTTTTTTTTTAATCGCAACATGTTGAATTTTACACTATTCACATGTTCTACTTTGACTACATTTTACACTATTATTTTATGAGAATTATTTTTTTTTAAAAAATATTGTTCAGTACATCTCATTACAAATTTTCAAAATCTGATTTAATTTTTTTTACTAATAGAGATTAAGATATAATTACGGTCAAAGATGTGCGTTGGCAAGTGTGAAATGTTGCCCGTTGCAACTAAAAAAGAACGGAGGAAGTTTAATCAAATTATTATGTATAAAATGTTATTAAATTTCTAATAATGTGAATTTCCAAAATATTAACTTTTTACAATGTTCACTACTCCCTCTGTCCCCTTTATATTGTCCCGTTTTACCTTTTCGGGAAATCCCACTAAAATTGTCTCATACCATATTTGGTAAAGTTTGTGTGGCTCTAAATCATTCTTATTTTATTCTTACTTTATCAATTAATATCAACCACACAAACCCACTTTTCTTAATAATCGTGTCACCCTCTTCTGTCCCCATATAAAAGGGACGGAGGTAGTAATACATAATTAAATATAATTACAGTCAAAGTTGTGCGTTGGCAAATGTGAAAGTCAAACTGTTGCAACTATTCAAGAACATAAGATAGTATTTAAGTTTCTGATTTTGGAAATCAAGTAAAAAATTGTAATTGATTTACTCATCACCTCCCTCTATTTTGCTGCATTTCATTGATTTACTCAATTTGTCCAAAATGATGGGAGAACTCAAAGCTGTCTTTTAAATAAAAGGAGATAAGGGTTAATCGGTCCTTTAATGCCATTGTCACAATATTTTGGCTTTTTTCCTGACAGGCACGGCGTATGCAATAAATGAATCGTGTCTTTCAAATGGTAAAGTTTGGCACTAGTGTCATGAGATTAGTAGTTTTTTTCATGAAATCAATTGGAATAATTCAAGCCTTGCAATTGCTTAGTTGGTCTTGGTGATTGTTATCTAGTTTCTTTATATTAACCTTTCAACTATTTCTTTTTCTGTAGAATGCTGGTGCATTTTATGAATGGGTTGGCGCAGGTCTAACAAGTGTAAAAGTTGAAGGGTTCAAGAATGGGACTCTTGACTTGTCTTCAAATATTTGGACCTACAAGGTAATCCGTTTGGCTTTGCAATGATGTTGTCTTTTAGCTTTGACTAACTTTCAACATTTACATTCAAAATTAGATGGTTGTGAGCAGTTTTACTTGCATTAATTAAGTGTTATAAAAGGTGCTAGGCTGTATAATGGGTCATAGCACCTTGCTGGGACAGGGTAGGCGGGACCAAAATAATGAGAATATCAGTAACCACCAGAGGGGGCCTAGCTCCGAGGCGAGGATTTTTATAACATCTGCATTTGGCGTGTTAATATGTCTCGAATATGACTGCACTGCTAAGAAGTACATGGGTCTCGTTGCCTTGTCGGCGAGACGGGGATTCAGGGGGGCGACACCCCTCTGGCCTGGGGTCCAGGAGCTGCTATGCCCTGGCCCAATAGTATAGGGTAATTCCTATTTGCACTGTCCGTTTGGCTTGTGGATGTGATTTGGGCCAAGTCTATTTAGGGTGTATTTAGAATTCTGTATATACTCACAGTTTGCCAAGCTCATTGGTGAACCGTGCTTGTTATTGTTTGCGTTAATTTTCTTTGTTTTGTTGTGCATCCGTCATAACATAATGCTTGCACTAAATTTATTAGATTTTTAATCAGCTGTTTTGTGTGTGTGTATTGGATAAAATAAAAAGTATTTTAATGTGAAAATGAGAATGAATATGGTGCATTTGCTTATAGATCTAAGGGTCCAAGAAAAACCAGGAAGAATAAATGAATAAAATGCAATGGCAGAACTGTAAACAAGTGCAACTTGAGAACAGTGCACGTACGTGAATAGTGAATACTGCATATCCACACCTATTGTAGTATTTTACAAACGTCACCTTGTTTTTCCTTGATCATTTGCTCTCTTTTTCATGGCAATTTTGTTACACGGAAACTGTTCATTGGCAGTGGTGATTTGTTGATGGAAAAACAACTGTTTTTTTTTGTGTGTTTTTGTTTTATCCTAAGGATTAATGTATGTCTTCATGCAGCTTATTAGGAATTGATAAATGATTACTACAGACCTATATATAAATCAAGTTGTTCTGGAAAAGATAAAGCACTAAATGTCTGCTGCAAAATGTTCTAAAGTTGAGTTCCTTCATGTGTATTTAATTCTCAGATTGGATTGGAAGGAGAGAGTCTGAGAATATATCAGGGAGACGGTTTGAACAGTGAGACGTGGGTGCCAGTTTCGGCTCCACCTAAAGGACAGTCTCTTACATGGTATAAGGTAAGAAGTACGACTAAGCCTACATCTCTGAAGTGAGTTTGAACTTTAAATATCAATTGTGATATTGCAGGTTGTCGTTAATGCTCCCCCTGGAGACGAACCTGTTGGACTTGACATGATCCATATGGGGAAAGGCATGGCTTGGTTGAATGGAGAAGAAATTGGAAGATATTGGCTCAGGAAAAGCTCTGAAAATGATAATTGTGTTCTTCGATGTGACTACAGAGGCAATTTTAACCCTCACAAGTGTAACACAGGTTGTGGAGAACCCACACAGAGATGGTAAGATGCCTGAAGAACATGAAATATGGGGTTGTTACAATGCTATGTTATCATACATCAAGCATGACACTTACATTTTATGCATGATCGGAATTTGGGAGCAATTAGGTACCATGTGCCGCGCTCATGGTTCAAGCCATCTGGAAACATATTGGTGTTCTTTGAAGAGATAGGTGGAGACCCTTCACAAATTACATTCTCTCTTCGGAAAGTCTCAAGCATCTGTGCTCAAGTCTCAGAAGATCATCCTTGGGTTGATCTTGAGCATCTGCAAGATGGTGAATTTGGGAACATAGGGAAACCAACTCTTAAATTGAAGTGCCCAATGAATACTCGGATTACTGTGGTTAGATTTGCCAGCTATGGAACTCCTTCTGGTACTTGTGGCTCCTATGCTGAAGGAAAATGCCACGACTCGAACTCTGTCTCGTTGGTCAACAAGGTATGATCACTGCTCTAAAAATCCCCCCATAGAGCTTGACCATGTCTGGTTTTTCTTTCTCTGCCCTCACCCAACTGCCTAGTTACTGCTAGGCTCCTAGTCTACTGACTTGATGCCACATAGCACTTTCTAGAACAGTATGTATGAGACTGCATATCTGGAACTTCTTATAAAAATTATCACATCAACTTGGCAGAAGGGTCTGATGCGGCAAAAAAAATCAGGCACATTACGTTTATACTACTACCTCTGTCCCAAAAAACTGTCATTTTCAAAACTTTGACCAACTGTATCTTTTTATTGGAAATGATTTATAATATAAAAAATACATGAAAATGTTCTTTGATAAGAGTACTTTCATAAAAGTATAAATTTATAACTTCCAGTGAGCAAGTGTGTTGTGACGGAGGTAGTATGTAATAAAAAAGAAGAAAATCATGGAATAATAATAAGGAGTGAGTTGTGAATCCAAGACACTCTGTTACTATAGATCCAGTGAGCAAGTGTGCAACCAGCTATGATACCGTTCAACCACTACAAATATATCAACTTATTTGTATATATATATATATATATATATAAGGAAAAATTGAAAACAATAATCCCAACTATTGCTGGTCCGCTGAAAATAATCCCAACTATTGATTATTTTTGTATAATCCCAACTATATAGACTATCCGCCAATAATGGTCCATGACCATATATTACCTCTATAAAAAGTGAATTTTAAATAGAAATTAAGTGTAAAAACTAAAAGTTAAGATTATTTAGAGGGATTACTTGTTATATCTCACCCCATCCGCTTTAGAAACTACAAGAATTTATTCATAGGGACCATTATTGGCGGAAGGTCCCTAAAGTTGGGATTATTCTGTAATAATCAATAGTTGGGATTATTATGAGCGGACCGCCAATAGTTGGGATTATTATTATCAATTTTTCCTATATATAAATATTTTGCGGTATTATATATTTTTAAAAACAAATGAGGGCCTTCTATCAGGAAGGCGTGCCCTGTTCGGCGGCACCACTTTATCCTTCCGATGGCCACTTCTGAACAATTATGATATGGTCCCAAGGTTGATTATACAGCTTCAAGTTTTGTTGAAAGTATAGGCTATCAATAGGATAATATGCACATGAGATTGCAAATTAATTGGTTAGAACACATGTGTGCTCTATAGGTAATCCAAGTGATGCTTAACGAGCAATGAATGTTATTACTTTTATTTTTTAATAGTAACATCTTAGTGCTGTCACCATTGTTTTGCAGGCTTGCTTGAACAAGAGTGAGTGTGGTGTAGAACTATCTAACAGAAATTTTAATGTGGGAATCTGCCCTAATGTGACCAAGGAACTCGCAGTTGAAATTCAATGTATCTGACGATGCAATTCCATACCCTACACTCATTCAGCACAGCATGGTGGCATTATATTGCCCATTTTAGTTGTATTTTAAAATATTTTTCTTAATAAACTAGCTGAACAATATATCAGCATTTGTCCCCTTTAACAGGACAAATAATTATGAATAAGTAAGGGTATAAATAAATCTATGGTGGATAGATGTGTTAATGCGTCTTGGTCGGTGGAATGGTATCTTGTGTACATAACAGTGAAGTAAACGGAAAATGATGGACGGCATATTATGTTTATAGAAACAGAATAACTTTTACTATAAACCCTGGTATAATAGTATTAAATGTATGCGCAACATAACATGAAATAATCACTTCTATATGACTAAAATAGAGATGATAGATAAAAATGTGACTTTTTCTACGCGGTGACTATATTAATAACTTTGGTGATTAATTATGATCAATTTTACATTGCAAGAATCATGACATTGTACTCATAGTAACTTTAGTCACCTTTTTGTCCATAGTTTATATTCTAGTGTGATTTAGGAAAAAAAACTTTTTCTTTGAAGTAGTTCAACAAACTTAAAGAATTTAAGAACTTAACATGCTTTGGAACTCTAAAATGAACTTCTTTTGAGTGTTAATATGTTTGCTATAGAGGAAAGTGTTGAATAAATATAGTATATTGTGATTTTCAAATGAGATGGAAGAGTGGAATTGGAATAGAGTTATGGTCATGGGAAAAAATTGCTTTAAAGAATTGTGAGCTATGACCATTGGATGCACACATCCTTTATGAGAAAAAAGAAATCATGTGTGTTCGAGTGGATTAAACTACACTTATGTTGGAATTGTTATATACTTTCATATAGACTTTAGAGTGGAAGGAGATGATTCTATATGAGTTATAGCACAGATAAATTTTGACTATAGGCCCGTTTTGAAATTGCCTAGTAGTCTAGTACACAAGTCTAAGTCGAGGATTAGGACTTACTTATTGCATGCATTTATATATTTCTAATTTGCTGTTCATACACATTCACATCGCACAAAACTTGGAAGCCCTAGCGTTTTGGACACATTTTCATCCTTAACTCTCACATTCACTACTTCAGGTAGTTATATCTCCAATGTGGGACGAGCATCAACATACCCTGCAACACACCTTTCCTTAATATATTTAGTTTTATTAACGTAAAGCTTAATATCCCATTTAGTCAGAACTGGTTCTAAGAACTTTAAATGCTACATGAGTACGTGTTTATCGACACTGAATGTAGTTTCCAAATATATACTTTATACTTTATTTGTCACATTTACGAATCAAACTACTTAAATATATCACCAGACTTAATGTAAATCCTAATTTTAACCATTCCTGACATGAATGAGATGCCCTAAATTTGATTGCACATTTTAACACAAATAGAGTTCCGACGAACATGCAGGGCAACATGAGAGATAGCGTCTAACTTTGATTTCAAAAGTATTTCATTGGTGTGCTCATTTTGGCTATGACCATCTTCTTTGATTTCAAAAGTATGTCATTTAAAGCGGCACATATTCACCACCACTTATGATTGCATAGGATATATAGATCAAGATTGTTAAAATCGCGATTTGAATCGTAAATTCGTACGATTTTACGATTCAAAATCACTAAAACGAATCAAATCGGTTACAAAATCAGAATTAATAATAATCGTAAAAAAATCGTTAGGAAATCGCAAAAATCGTTTGAAATCGCGAGTATATACGATTTCTCGATTTTGAAAATTTGACTAAAGCACACTCGAAAACCGGCCGAACTACTCAGGCCAGTTGACAAGTAGAGGTACTAGCTGCCTGCTTTGACTGTTACCGACTCGACAATTATATAGGCAAGGGAGGAGGCAAATTCCTAATCTATTCCGGTGTGGGATCATTGAAAGAACAAACAATTTTTTTAAAACTAAAAACCATCGATGCCGGGTTTCGTACTTCATTCAAAACTATTATTGCACCAACTCACCATTTCACCAATAACAATTTTGTTATTTTATCTGAATATTATTAGTGTTTTACTTAATCAATATTCCACAAAACAAATATACATATACTTTTCTTGTCTTGTTATTGCTATTCATATACGGAGCACTCATTGTGAAAATAAATTCAAACATCATTTTTATTTTTGTGTGACTTTTATTCTTAGAACACATAATATTATTTTGTTATTAATTATTTTTGTAAACTTAAGTTAACACTACGTACATCATTGTGAGACTTAAACTCATAATAATTTGACATAATCATATTAAATTATGATTTTTCTTTTGACTAATATTTTTAATAATTTTTATTTAATTATTTTGTAAAATCTTACGATTTACGATTCGATTCTACGATTCGATTTTTAAACCTTTGTACCGATTCGATCAAAAAATAAGATTTTAACAACCTTGATATAGATAATAACTTATGAAGAACACAATACCATTTATGTTCCATCTATATGGGTGTAGGAATCATTAAAAAATTATTTTATATCCTCATCATATTTGGTGGGCAATAATCTTAAAAAAAATCAAAGTTAAGTGTATAGAACAACCACATGTTCCATGTAGTATACACGAGCACTATTTTCAAGATATGATGAGGATAGACTATACATGGTCAAGCTCTATGAGAGTATGAGACTGCCAAAAAAAAAATAGTGTTCGTGTAATAGTATGCAACAACCACATGTTCCATGTAGCTTTATCATCATTTGCCATACTATACATTTCCCCCCTCTTTTTTGCCCAAGTTCACCTAATACTTAATTAATAGGTTTATTAAACATGACCTTCCCGTCTTCCTATTACTGGGCAACAATTTTCCAAAAAGGTATTTTTTTTTTGTTATTAATCCTTTTGCTAATTGGAATTCACGTTTCTTCATTTTGTTCTTTTTATATTTCTATTCATTATTTATTACAAAAAAGTATTTTCTTGAAGAGAAGTATAGAAAAAAAGATAAATATTCATTTAGATGGACGTTAGTAGTAATTTTTTCAGTTGTGAAGGCTAATATGGGGTTTAACACAAAACAAGCTTTATATTCATCCCAGCCCCTACGACACTTGTATAATTCATTCCAACAAGACAAATTTAATGTTACTGTGTAGTCGAGAACTTTTTACCATTTGATAAGTGTGGTTTTAGTATTCATTAAAATTAACTTAGGAAAACTAAAAGTGATATTTTTAGTCAAGATTCTATTTTAAGTTTTCTTGAAAATCATATCGTATTCAGATTTTTTGATTTATGAATATACTATTGTAAGAAGATCATCATTTTTACTGTTCATTCATTGCAATGTTTTTAATTTAATACATGTTATAAGAATCAGTTGGGTCAAGACTCGAGGTAAGTATTAGAATTTTCATGAAATTTGAATTAAGATTCGATTAGTAGATAAACATTTCTAATTGGGTTTTAGTTTTCAATTTATAATACATCTCTCTGCTAGACCACTTGCTCGTAGAACAAGAATTGGCCTCTATGATAGTACTCCCTTTGTCCCTGAATTTACTTCCAACTTTCCCTTTTCGTCTGTCCCAAAAAGAACTTCACTTTCCCTTTTTGGCAAAGAATTTGTGGTTCACGGCATTTCTCTCTCCTCTGCACAACTCTCCACCACACAATTCCCACTTTCTTAATCACCGTGCCACTTTAATTTGAAAGAACAATCAGGGACGGAGGGAGTATGTTTTTGCATTATTAGTAACGAAACATGGAGGCTTAAGCTTGGTTAGTTTTTTATTGAATAGTGTTTGATACTTTAAATATTAAGTATGAGTTAGTCTTTTGAAGGATAAAAACGGTTTGTTTTTTAAATATGTTTGAATTTGAAAACATGTCATTCGAAGGCACATGAACAATTTATGAGGGGTCACAACATTTTTCCCTCAAGATTCTTCTACAACCAAGTGCTACGTATGAATTTGAACACCTTTTTCTCTCTCTCCTTCAATGCATATCTGTTCTCAACTCAACTACATCAACAAGGCCTTGTTGGTAATATGGATGCTTATACATCTTTTGCTCCTTGCTAATGGATATCCCCAATTAAGAGTTCAACACTATTTATGCCGCAAATTATATCATGGGATCGGCTCACCATGCACATGGTGTGCCGATCCCAAAACGACATAGTTTTTATTAATTAAAAAAGAAAGCGGCCTTCTTCCGTACAATTCACCCGGCGCCACCAACCTTTTTATTACGTACAAGGTAATACTGCGCGCCTATAGCATCCAGAAGAAGGCGTGAAACTCCATTAATCTTCTGAACGAGAAAGCAATGGTGATCAGAGAAGGAAACGCGGATCTATCGTTTACTTATTAGAAATCTTCATTTATTAATAACAATGTCCTAAAGCTATGTCGTTAACCATGCGCCACCGGCCTTGTTATCAACGGTGATTGCTGGTCGTTGTTATATTATACAGTATAAGGAATCCTTTCTGTCGGCTTATTGATCATCTTTCTCCACCGCCTTGAAGGTTTGTCTTCTTTCCTGGCAGAAGTGGCAACTTGTTCCTTTATTTACCTTACATAAATGATTAGGCAATTTGTATTTTGATTTTGCTCAACTTACATTTGAAAATACACGCAGGTACATCAAGATTTGCCTTAAGTTACATATCAATTAACGTGAGTTACATGTTAATTTTTCTTTGCAAGTCACAATATAATGCGAGTTACACAACACAATAAGCCCTTATTATTCAAAGAAAAAATTATTTTGATAAAAAAACTTATTTTTATAGCCTAGATATTACACTATTTATGTAATATAATTGGTCAATGGACTCCTTTTTTCAATATTTACATGGAAATCAATGTTTTTTAATTTTCAAGTTACATTTCAATTAAAACAGTTTACATTTCAACGAGTTACATTTGAATGAATGTGATTTACATTTTGATTAACCTGAAGTTACACGTTGATTCACACAATATACATTTCATATAACTATGAGAGCAAGATGCTCACCCTACATCGCTCCCACGGTATAACACCTTTATTTATGCATTATTAAATATTAACTATATATATTGGACTAACAATCTAACATTCATCCTTTTTGGTTTTGAGACTCTAAGTTCATATTTATTTGATATGTTTTTTTGCAAGTATCATTGTTTATCTTTTCTTCTAAACACTATATGAAGTATAAAAGTAAAACTACAGATTTATGTTGCACAATATATATTGGGCACCATCCCAATTGTGCACTGCGTCTTACGAGAACTAGTTTGTATA